ATAGGACTGTTCTCAAGAGCAGTGTTATCGGCATGGATAAACCCAGGAAAAATACAGGCCAATGCTTTTCAAATGAGCGGAGCTGGACATTGCCGGATGCTTAGTGTAGGCAACGGCCATCGCTTCCGCTGTGATTTTACTTCTAAAAACAAGGATCCTTGTCTAGACACCTCAAGATGGACCATGGGCTGTTAAGTTATGCACATGAGTTTCAAAGTGTTTGCTGTGGCATGAGGGTATAGCTTGTAGCCGTGTTGGTTTAACACAGGCAGACAAGGCTCTCTGGGTAAATCTAATATCTTTTATTAGACCAACTCATATAGTTGGAAAAATTATTTTTTGCAAGCCTCTTTGCAAGCTGTCGGACTGTAGCATGAGAATCTTTTTCTTCAAAGGGCATGTTGTAGGACTGCGTATCTCTCCTCATATAGATCACCTGTCCGTCCCTGTGTATCTCCATCCAGCATCAGTCTGAGCCAATCTGTGTAATCTTAGATTAGATCAACGTAAAGCTTTTTAACCCTATAACTATGTGCATTAGGGGTGTGATTTTTGTCCCCTCCTTATAATAATACCAGGATAATCCCTGGTCTGAGTGCAGCTCTATGCACTGTACCAGACCAGCATATCCCCTTTCCCACCCTGTTATGGCTATACCAGTATAAGGCATTGGGAAAACTGAGTCTCCAACCAGTGGAAGGTACCACTGTAATTACACTGGATGGTTAAACAACATCACCTTTCTGTGTTGACAAGGCCTGAAAGCTTGCAAAGAAGATTTTTTTTCCAACTATTTGAGCTGGTCTAATAAAAGAGATCAGATTTACCCAAAGAACCTTGTCTGACAAGGCCTGAGGGTTTTATAAGGCTGCCCACGGCTTCTGGGCATCTTCCACATCGTAGAATCAATAGCCACAATGAAGATCATAGTGGATTTCAGTATCTTTAGCCCATTTCTCCTTTGCGGGGTAAAATCTCTGCAGTTTGGAATTTTTTTTTTAATTCCATCCATTTCCCCCCCTTTTCAAGTGATTTATTTCAGGGTGACATTATTCTGTGGGGGATCTTTTGAGGGGGAAGGGGATATCAGTGGTGGGAGAATTACATTCCCTGTTAGCCTGGGTCATCATTACATGCTGGACTGTCTGGATGTTGCCTCCCTAGATCATATGCTCACACTGTGCCTGTTGCACTGATATTTCCAGTCTCTTTCCTCCAAATCCTTGAGCATCTGTGGAATTTCACCTGTGGGTGTTAATACCAGGGGGAAACTTGTTGATGTATTTTGCAGTGCAAAACTCTTCTTTGACGACATCTTTTTGAATCACAGGATCATAAAAATTGAGGGTTGGAAGGGACCTTGGGAGGTCACATCTAGTCCAAACCCCTGCTCAAAGCAGGACCAGCCCCAACTACATCATCCCAGCCAGGGCTTAAAAACCTCCAAGGATGGAATAGTTTGGTGAAATAGCTTCAACATTTGGATGAAATTTATTTTTGGGGGGAGAAATAAATGGGCTAAGGTTACAGTTAGGGTGAAACATTATTAACATGCTAAAGACGGTTTTTGTTTTTAAATTTGTTTCCCAAGGGGTGAACCTCGTCCTGAGCTGTTTCAAAATTAAAACAGGATAAAAAGCAAAACTAAAACATGTGAATGTGTTAAAATAACAGGTTTCTAGTGATCCGAAGTTGGGATTTTTTCCCCCTCCTCTGTATTGGGCTGTGTGAAAAAAAAAAATCAAAATTTTGCCTTTTTTCTTCCCAATTTGGCAAGAAATTGGAGATGGAAAAACAAAATGAACTCAGCATTTGTTAGAGGAAAAGATCTGTTTCTCCGCCAGCTCTGGGGATTAGCAACATTGAAGGGAACAGCATAAACCTCCTGGGGAACAGGGGAGAGACAGGAGACAAGAGAAACCAGAGTTAAAAGCATTCTGCCTTGTCGTGATCTTTCTGACTTTTTTACAATGCAAGAATTGCTTTATTATTTTTCTGTAGTCAAAAAAAAAAGAGTGAAAACAAGAGAGCTGGCATTTTCCGAGGGGTCCTCAAGGCTATCAAAGGGTGCCTTGAGTCCAAAAAGTCTGCAAACCACTGGTATTGAGAGACCAAAAGAGGTCAGAGTTAAGGGTAAAGGGGATCTTAGCTCTAGTTTCTTTTTGAACATATTGCCCACCACTCTCCTTTCTCTTGTCTCTAGCAGAGCTGCAGCATCTTGAAAACAGCTCTCAAAAACAGCTCCTGGTGCCAGAAGGAAGACAGCCCCTGTGGACATGGGGCTTAGGCACCAATGTACCTTGGAGGAGGAGACATCGGTTCCTGGGAGCAGGACTGCGGGGCCCTGATCTCTGCTGTGCAACAAGAGTTACGGTGGAGCATGTGGTTCGCTCTGATGGAGACTTCCCCGATGCTCAAGCTCACAAATGCCTGGGGGAGCAGGGAGGTTTATCCCTATTTTATTGATCGGGAAAATGAGGCCCAGAGAGGTCAAGGGAAAGGATTTTTCCTCAGCCCCACAGCCTCTGAGCTGGGTTTGGGATCCAGCCGTCTTCACCTTCCACCTGGAGCACCCACAAGTGCCCTCCACCAGCCCCCACCCCTTTCTCAGAGCCAGAAACAGACTTCAAAAGTGCCCCAGTGTCACAGATCACCAAGACCTCACTCCTTCCCGGACCCAGGAGTCCTGACTCCTAGTCCCTGACTCCAACCCCAAGCCTGCCCTTCTCTCCCAGTCCTGAAAAAAAGAAAAGCCAGGAGTCCTGGCTCCCCAGTCTCCTGCTCTCCCACCAGATGACAGGTCCCTGTACCCACCCTGCCCGCCACCTTGATCCACATTCCTCATAGTTATTGAAGGGGCAGGGCCAAAGTCTTCTTTGAAGGCATTAAAAACATAGAAACAGCCTTGAGACTCCTCTCCAGCTCCTTGTTAGACCTACTCAGCTGTGCCAGACCCCCACCCCTTAGCAGGATCTCGGCACCAGGGGCTTCCTAGGAGAGAAGTATGGGGCTGGAGAGGACATGGGGCCATTAAGTGGTTACTCCTTCAGCATCTTTGAGAATAAAGGCTCCAGAGAGTAGCTTCTGGGGCCTGCAATCTTTCTGAAGCACTGAACTGAGATGCAGATGCCCAGTGGTACCTTGATCAAATTACTTGCCCTGCTGTTCGTGACCGCCCCTGTTCCAGGACCCTGGATCTGCTGTAATGAAATAAATAAATGAAGCCAAGCATGCAGCTGCCTCGGTGACCTAAATTCCCCCTCCAGCATGACCTGTCCACCCTAAATCCCGTTCTGGGAAGGGTGCTAATCCCTGGTTTCCTGGGTGAGAAGGCAGGGCAGGGAGAAAGTGCTGCGCCCTGCCTTCCTCTCTTCATTGCAGCCAAGCCCAGAGTCCACGGCAGGGACACAATAAGTGGGAGGAATGCACCTGCCAGCTAAGTTAGCATCTCTCTGCCCCTGACATCTTGACACGGGGATAATAGCAGGGCTGAAGGGCTGATTTCATGGAGATTAACCCCTCGCCTTGTCTTTGGGCCGTCTCAGGGCCAGGACACTGCTTCGCCAGTGTATCAAAGGCAGATTACAGATATATTAGCCTGGCAAGGAGCAAGACTTCGTCAGACAGGGCCAGAGAGGCTGGAAGGAAGTTGAAGATAAGGAAAAGGAGGGTCCTGAACCTCCCAGTACCCACACAAAGCAAGGAGAGGGGGGGTTGGAAAAGGGGATGAATTCAGTGCCTGTGTATCCCCCAAGGAAGAGGCCGAGCAGGCTTCTTCCACATACCCACAGCCCTGCTACCAGGCACTATAGGATCCCCTGCCAGGGGTGAGAAGGGAGCTCCGATCCCTCCACCATGCAGCATTGCCAGGCTGCCTTGTACGCTCAGGAAGGGCCGGATGGGAGGAGAAGGGACCGCTGACCATGGCACAGACCCCGGGTGCGAATCCAGCACTGCTCCGACCCCTAGAGGCAAGAGAGGTCCCATTTCTCCTTCCCCCACTACCCTGCAAACACCCCCTATCCCGACAGCCTCCCGAGAGCCCCTCCAGCCTAGGCAAAAGCCCCGGGAAAGCAGGGAAGGGGTCACGGGAGGTGGGGCCAGGACCAGCCCAGCTCCGAGGGGAGGCGTTAGCACGCGGCACGGGGCTGCGGGGGAGCCTGGGACCCGTCCGGTCCTCGTTGGCGGTGCTGGGGGGAGGGAGGGAGCGCTATTCTCTGCGACGCTTGTCATGCACCCAGCCCCGAAAAGGTTAACGGGGAGCGAGGGAGAGAACTCAGCGCAGGCCCGTTTTAATTACATTCCATTAAACCTCCCTTTCGGGGCTGCGTTTCGCTACCATGTGTTACACATTCTCATGGTAATTATGGGACATCTGTATAGAGGTTCCTTTCTCATCAAAGATGGCTCTCATCAAAGACACTCCTGGGAAACCCTTCACCTTTGACCCCCGGGGTCACTGCCGAAACAGTGGCTCTATAGTTCACGCTACTGTAAAGCTGTAGTATCCTTTTTCCTTCTCCAACCTGACCAGGTCTCGGGGTTTTAATGTGATCCATGTTGAGAAAGAGGTGGGGGGGGG